GTGCGCGTGTGCGCGTGTGCGCGTGTGCGCGTGTGCGCGTGTGCGCGTGTGCGCGTGTGCGCGTGTGCGCGTGTGCGTGTGTGCGTGCGTGCGTGCGTGTGTGCGTGTGTGCGTGTGTGCGTGTGTGCGTGTGTGCGTGTGTGCTTGTGTGCTTGTGTGCGTCTGTGCGTCTGTGCGTCTGTGCGTCTGTGCGTCTGTGCGTCTGTGCTATGTGCGTCTGTGCGTCTGTGCGTCTGTGCGTCTGTGCGTCTGTGCGTCTGTGCGTCTGTGCGTCTGTGCGTCTGTGCGTCTGTGCGTCTGTGCGTCTGTGTGTGCGTCTGTGTGTGCGTCTGTGTGTGTGTGTGTCTGTGTGTGTGTCTGTGTGTGTGTCTGTGTGTGTATGTGTGTGTGTGTGTGTGTGTGTGGGGGGGGGGGATGCGGGTGTGGGCGTAGAGTGGGGTGTGCGTGTGGGGTTCGAGTGTGGGCGTGCAGTGCGGGGTGCGAGAGTGTGCGTAGACTGCGGGCGTGGAGTGTGGGCGCGAATGTGAGAGACGAGTGTGGAAAGCAAGTGTCGGCATTGAGTGTGGGCGCGAGTGTTCGGCGAGTGCGGGCGTCGAGTGTGGTGCGATTCTGGCCTCGAGCGAGTGCTGGCCCCTCAGACATACACAAATCAAAACGAGCCCTGGCGGCGTGGCACCTCGCGATCACGTAGGCAACGCAGGATCACGTAGGATCACAGGGTACGCCTAGGGGGGTACGTATGGGATCTCGAGCGACCCCTCCCCCTCCCCAGAGCACGCTCTGCATGCCGAGCCCCGTGTTCGGACGGCCCCGCGACCCCGTATGTCCAAGAGCGAAAGGAGGCTCAGTCATCTGGCGTTCAGTCGAGCACGTCCCCCTACAGGGTGAATATTTCAAAAATGGTCAAAACATAGTCGGGGGACGATTTTTGGATGATTCAGTGTTGTTCGAATATGGTTTGACTATGTTTTAGTTTTCGTCCCAAATCCGCCTGTAGGAGGAGAGGACACGCCCGACCTAGAGCTGGCGTCTCCAAACCGAGTCCCAGGGTTTTCATCATTTTCGGCCCCTCAGGGCCCTTGCTGGGCCTCGGGGCCGTCAGCAAAACGACTCGGGATGAAAAAGAACAGGTCCCGGGGGAGCGGGGTCCAGGGCCCGCGCCTCGAACAAATCGGAGCGCCGGATGTCCGGGAGAGCGTGCACGTACACGAATCCACGTTGGTTTCGAAAGTGCCGCGAACGTGCGCATCACGAGGCTGGTCTCGCGGCCTCGGGGGCAGCGTTCCTGTGCGTGGTCGGGCGCGCAAGTACGTTCTTCGAGGCTCCCGTGGTAAGGGTCCCCCAGAGGCCGAAAAGTCTTCACGCTTCGCTCAGCCCCGCGCTATGCCGTGCTCTGCTCGGTGGCACGTTTACCTCTGGCGCCTGGCGCGACAGAGTACAATTCGTTTGCCTTCCTGGTGGTCTCGCCCCTGGGGTGGTTGCATTTCAGCCGCCTGGCACACCTGGCACCTCTTGCAGCTCTGCCTTCAGTCCCCGGCGTCGCTCGGCGTCCCTCGGCGGCAGCTCCGGCGGCCAGTAGTTCGCGCGCTTAGGTAATTAGGTTTGGCTCGTAGCCCGGGCTGACTTCGGATGCCGCCTGTGCTTTCGCTTGCGGCCGCGACCAAAAAGTATCCCCACCAGCCTATTCAGAAACCCTGCCATTCAGAGCTGACGGGAAAAGGAACGAAGAGACGCATCAAGGGAAACGAAGCGAGCAAGGGGGTGGCCTTGGAAGGCCTCTTCGGGCCATCCCTGGGTGCCGCGTGGGGGCGAGGTGAAGAGGAGGAGGAGGAGGAGGAGGAGGACGACGAGAAGGAGGAGGACGAGGAGGACGAGGAGGACGAGGACGCGGATGAGGACGAGGACGAAGAGGACAAGGATTAGGATGAGGACGACGTTGACGAGGACTCATGGAACCATCTACAGGTATTCTTGCAACTGCTTATGCTACTGGTGCTCTCTGGGAGTTTGGGGGGCCCTCTTGGAACCCTCTTAGTAACCCTGGAAGGCTTCTTGGTATCATCCTGGAGGCCATCGATTACAGGATGGGGGGGTCCCCAACTCAGCTCCCCCCTCAGGAGCCGGCAAACCGCTTCTTGGGACTCTCTTGGAGCGTTCTTGGGCGCTCTTGGAGCGGTCTTGGGGCCGTTTGGGGCATCTTGGGAGCCATCTTAAGCCAGCCTGGGCTATCTGAGCCATCTTGGAGGTCATCGTGGGCTCTTGTGAGACCGCTCGAGGGCCTCTTGGGGGCTTCTCGGGTGCATCTCGGGGCCCTCTTGGGACCCTCTTGGTGCCCTCTTGGGGCTCTCTTGGGGCTCTCTTGGGAGCCCTGGAGCGCCTCTTGGGGCCATCTTCGAGGTGATCGATCAAAGGAGGGAGGGTCCCGATCGAGGCCCCCCCCCCTCGGGGACGACGATCATTGTGAGGGGTGTCAAAAATTGGCCCTCCCAGGGGCCGAAAAAGGACCCTCCAACCGATCGCGGCCACTCCCGTCCAGGTCCAGGGGAGGGGGTAGGGGGAGGGGTCAAGCTACCCACCCGCCCGCAAGCCGTCTTGCTCACTCCCACCTGCCCTCCCAACACATAAGTAAAACCCCAGCCTGAGCATGTTCAGCGGTCTTCTTTCGATGGATAGCTATTGGGAACCAAGATCGAGCCCATGTGCGCGACGCTGGGGCGAGGTGCGCCACGCGTGCCAGGCGCGCCACGCGCGCCAGGCACCCCTGGGACCCGAGCGTGCCAGACACTGGTGCCCCAGATGCGCCACGTGCCCCCGCGTGTGCCAGGTGTGCCGCATACTTCAGCCGCGCCAGGTGCGCCACGTTCGGGGCACGTGCAGAGTGTGTCAAATGCGCCTGCGCACGTGACAACACATATCGGGAAACATGCCGGCCCCCAACATCCATGTCGAAAGCCAATGCCCATCATTATGTCTGGTGGGCCTGCGCACAGAAGGCCTGTCCCAGGGGGCTCCAAAGGGGCCCCCTGGGACCCAAAAGGGGCACGAACGGCACACGTTTCTTTTCAATGCGAGGAGGGGTGGATGAGGTGTGGGCCCACGCCACGGTAGACGTATTATATTCATATTACAAGCGGCGACCAGAAACAGCCAAAAAATTGCTCCAGGATTGGAACTGGAGCCGGAACCGGACAAAAGCAAACAAAAAGGCGACGGAGCCGGCAACAAAAGGGCAGAACGGAGCCGGTAAGAAACAGCCTTGTCGCTTCCAGGGCCCGCTGAGTGTGGGCGGCCTCCCCCCACCGCGCGTTGCTCCAGGCGTCTCTTTGGGCACGCCCTGCTCCGCCTCCGCGGGCCTCCCCGGGAGCGCGCGTGCTGGCTGGGAGGTCCATGTGGAGCCAGCCGAGGCGACGAGCCCCGAGGGCCCCACAGGGCAGGCATCAATACCAGATCGCGGCCCTCATCCTCCCCCCCACGCTCGCGCTGAATACGCCATGAGAGAGGGCATCCTCTTTCCCACTTCCTGAGATCCTGGCGTTGCAATTCTTAACGCTTTCGCGTATCCTCACCAGCACATCCAAACACGATCGGAGGCTTTCGTGAGGCCTCTTGGAGGCTATCTCGAGCCATGTTTGGGTAGAGGCTGTCGGAGGCTATCCTGAGCCATGCTCAGCTATCTTGGACCATTTGAGGCTGCCTTGAGGCCTCTTAGAGGTCTGTCGGAGGCTATCTTGAGCCATGCTCGACCTCCTTGGACCATCTCGGGGGTAAGAGGAGGAAGAGGAGGAGGAGAAGGAGGAGGAGGAGGAGGAAAAAGAGAGAATGAGGAGCAGGGGGAAGAGGAGGAGGATTGGAAGGAGGAGCCGGATGAGGAGGAGGACAAGGAAAGCGGCACGAGGAAGATGAGGAGAAGGAGGAGGGGGAGGAGGATGAGGAGGGAGGAGGCAGGAAAGGAGGTCAGAATGAAGAGACGATGACAAGGAGGATGAGAGGTCGGGTTTTGGAGATATGTTGTTGTGAGAGGTTCTTATTAAAGGACGACTAAGGCCATCTTAGGGGCTCCCTTATGGCCCCCGCGGGGCCTCTTGGGGCCCTCTTGGGGGCTCAGCTTGGAGCTGATGGGGCCCTCTTAGGCTCATTGGAGGGGTCTGGCAGGCTTCTTGGCCCCCATGGCTCGAAAAGAGGAGGGGTGATTAATTAAGGTCCCCCCCCTCGGAGGCTCAAACATGGCCTCTTGGGGACCTCTTGGGCGCTCTTGGGGCCCTCTTGGGCCCCTCTTGGAGCTTTCTTGTGCCGTCTTGGGGCCATCTTGAAGCCTGAAAAGCCCATCGGAAGCGAAAAGGAGAGACAGCAAATAGCATGTGTTTCCCATCGGTTTTTGAAGAATTCTGGCCTCTTGGACGGCGCGTAGGCAGGCTCGAAGGGCACTTGGAACCGTCTTGGGGCTGTCTTGGAGCCTCTTAGAGTCATGTCAGAGGCTACCTTGAACCATGTTCGGCTATCTTGGGCCCTCTTGGAGGCCATCCTGGGCTCTCTGAAGCCCTCTTGGAGCCATCTTGGACCGAAAAGCGCCCTCTCACACCTCGCGGGGCGCCCCGTCCAGACCCAGGCGAGGGGGTAGAGGGAGGGGTAAACCCCTCCCCCAAGCAGGGGAAGGAGTGATTTCGGCAGAGAAGACAAAGCTCGGTAAACCACCTACGCCCAGAGGGCTGGTGGGATTTTTTCAGACCGGGCGTTTTCGCCGAGTTTCGGGCCCCAGGAATCTCACAGATCGATCCGGCTCGAAAACATGCCGCAGAAAGATGCGGTCCGGGGCTCCGGTGGTGTTTTTGTTTCTGTGATGTTGCAATTGTTTGGCAACCTCGGATCTCGGGGCTCCCCCTCCGCCCTCCCTCTTCCTGCTCCCTTCACCTCCACGCTCGGGCTGATGGCTTCAGACAAAATCCTTTCTTCGAACCTCTCTCCCTCTTCCCCCTCTCCCCCTCGTCGTTCTCCGATGCCAAGGTGCTGTTCACGCTGTGCGTGTTCATCATCGGGACGGGGGGGCTCAAGGGCCAGACGAACAACGGCGAGATCAAGGATTCAGCTGACCAGGGAGGGGGAGAAGGTTGAGGAGGAGGAGGAGGAGGAGGAGGAGTACAGTCAAGACGCTGAGTCATGGATCACCTTTGGTTCAGGAGATGCTCTGGTTTTAGGGGCGTCCCTGAGATGTGCGCAAAGGAGCCGACTAACTATTGACCGAGGCTCGCCGTGGCCAGGGAAGCCTTTTTCCCTTCCTTGCTCGTGTAGCGTGTCCTCATGGTATAACGGTGGCTGCTGGAGGGGGGGTTGGCGGAACGTGAGAGGTGGGGGATCAGGAGGAAGAGCGGCAAGGCAGGAGTAGGGCTAGAGAGTGCGGGAAGGGTTCCAGGAACCCCTAGGTCCTGTGGTAGGGATGGGAGCAAGAGGAGGAAGCGGAGGAGGAGAAGGGGGAGGAGAAGGAGAACAAGCGCAAAATTGGGATGCATCAACAACAACGTTGCTGCAGTTCACGCTCCCGTTCCAAACCACTTCGTCATCAGTCATTGTACGCACTCTCTTTTTCACAACGGGAGATGACACCCTGAGAGTTGAACGCAGGGTGGAGGAGGAGGATGGGGGAGGAGGATGATGAAGAGGAGGAGGAGGAGGAGGAGGGACGAGGGAGTAGGGAGGAGGAGGAGGAGGAGGAGGAGGTGGAGGAGGATGGGAGGAGGAGGGTGGAGGAGGAGGAGGAGGAGGGAAGAGGAGGAGGAGGAGGAGGAGGAGGAGGAGGGGAGGAGGAGGGGGAGGTGGAGGAGGAGGAGGAGGAGGAGGAGGAGGAGGAGGAGAAGGAGGACGAGGAGGAGGGGGAGGAGAAGGGAGGAGGAGGAGGAGAAGAATAGGAAGAAGAAGGAAGGAGGAGGAGGAGGAGGAGGAAGATGAGGAGGAGGAGGAGGAGGGGAAGGAGGAGAGAGGGAGGAGGGAGGGAGGGGGGGAGGGAGGGAGGGGAGAAGGGAGGAGAAGGTGGAGGATTGGAGCAGGAGGAAGAGGAGGAGGTGGAGGAGGAGGAGAAGAAGAAGGAGGGTGAGGAAGAGGTGAATTCCCCGCATGTTTCGTTATGATCACTGCAGGGCGAGGTCGAGCGAATCACGATATTCTGCTGCCGATGCTTCATCTACCTGCTGAGCTTGGGGCAATGGCTGTATTACCACATCAAGTACATATGGCGTGACGTGCGCGCCAAGTCATTCGTCAAGTTTGCCCACATTCCATTCCCAGCCTATCTAGAGAACTTCCAGGACTGTGCCAGCCTGCTCCTGACCATCCTCCTATTGGTCATGCTAGGCCTGGATCCCCTACTGCACTGCCTCGCGAATAAGGCAGTTGATGAAGACGACGTGATGTTCCGGGATGACTGCGATGCGTCCAAAGGCATCGGCGAAGTGTTCTCCACAGTGAGCGCCGTTGCAGCGGTCTTGTATTTCGCACTCATCATTGACCTCTCGGTGTTCTCCACGAGGGTATCCGCGTTTGTGTTGGTCTGCTACCGCGTGCTGTCCGAGGCGCTGCTGTTTCTGTTCGGATCTCGCGGGCGGGAAAAACACAGTCGGACCGCTGGAGAAGGAACCCTTTTCGTTGAGGAGGGACTCAGAATTCGCTGGAGAAGGAACCCTGTCTGTCTCAGGTGCTCCTTCGATCTTCAATGGGAAGCAGAGAAGTCTGAGGCATGGAAAGAGGGGGCCTCGCCTCGTTCCTTGGTTGGGGATCCTTGTGACAGCGTTTCGACTGCACCCATCTCTGAGGTCCCACGGCCCTTTGCCCCCCGGGTCTCGCGACCCTTTGGACACGGGAGCGCTTTTTGTCGCGGCTGCTCCGCGCGGAGCGCAGCCGTGCGACCGCGCATCCACGGCATCGCGCCCCCGAGTCCAGACCGCGAGGGCGCTTTTGGAGCGCGCGCAATGGGGGGTGCGCCAGAGGTGGGGGCAGCGAGGGCTGCTGCAAAGGGGCCCTCTGGGGCCCCGAAAGGGACCCTTTCCTCATCTTTGTCGCCCCCCCCATCAGTTCGCGCCCAAGCCTTGATGTGGATGCTGTTCTCTCCGCCCGCGAGGACTGGCCTTCATGATCGTGACGTGGAGCACCGCGGTCAGCGCCCTGGACCAGGATAACGACGACTTTGCCGGCATCCCCGCCTCCGCCCTGTCGTTGCTGAAGATCGCCCTGGGCATGTACCCCTCGGTCGTTGAAAGTAAGATATGTTTTGGAGCCCCACTAGGAATGGCAGAAACATAAAAATTCGGATGTCCGCGCGGATTTCTCGGATCGAGCGCCAGGAAGGGGGATCCAGCGCCGACCCGGGAAATCCGCGCGGACTTCCAAGTTGTTACGTTTATGCCATTCTCCGTTCCCCTACCCAGATTCCGCTGCTTCGGGCGCCTTTTTTATTTCGGGGGCCTGAGTGGCGTTCCCTGTTTCTTCATCTTCATGGGGCTGGCGCAGCATCTTCCTCCTTCATGATTCGACCCGTCTCTTCCGACCGACAGGTACAGCGGGAAGTCGTTCGCGCTGCTGCAGGACGAGCCCGCGCTCATGGCCGCCGTGGTGTGCTTCGTCATCGTGAGCGTGGTGCTCCGGGATCCCAGACGATGTGGCGACCACACCCTGCTCCTCCTCCTCCTCCTCCTCCTCCTCCTCCTCCTCCTCCTCCTCCTCCTCCTCCTCCTGCTCCCCCTCCTAAACGATGGGGTGAATGGCCACACCATGTGGCGGGTCAGTGAGGATTCGGGGTGGTCGTGGGGCTTGGGTAGGGGAACGGGCAGAATGGCATAAACAGAAAAAACTCGGAGGTCCGCGCGGATTTCTCGGATCGACGCCGCAGGCGCCGCCAGAGGGGTCCAGCGCGGATCCGAGGAGTCCGCGCGGGCCTCCTAGTTTTTATGTTCGTGTCATTCTGCCCGTTCCCCTAGTGTTAAGTCGGGCCTGTCTTTCTACAGGGGGAAAATTCCCAAATAGTCAAAACATACTCTGGGGACTATTTTTTGAGTATGTTTGGGCATCTTTTGATCATTTGTTGAGTATGTTTTATTTCTCGTCCAAACTCCCCCTGTAGGGGGACAGGCCCGACCTAACCATACTGAGGCTTCGAGGCGGTCGTGGGGTTGAGGGGACTCGGGCCGCTCTCCCAGGGCGCCTCGGCCCACGCAGGCCTCCGGGGCCCGCAGGCCCTGCCAGTGGCGGACCGCGCGGTCGGGCCTCCTCGGAATCTCGAGGCCACCGCACCGTTTGCTGTTTTGTTGTTTGTTTTTGTTTGTTCCCAACCCTCCTTGGTTGGGTATTCGTTTTGAATAGAGCAGTGTGGTCGCGTCCTTCCTCCTCCCGCCTCCCGCCTCTTTCCTGCCTCTTTCTGTCTTGCCTGCGGGGGGCTGTGAAACTGTCGCCAGTTTCGAGGCCTGCTGGGGGGTCCAGCATAGAGGGTAATCGCGGCAGATCCAAATTAGACCTCGCCATTCCTGGGGGGCTGCGATGCATAGAGGGTAATCGCGGCAGATCCAAATTAGACCTCGCCATTCCTGGGGGGCTGCGATCTGTGAAACTGTCGCCACTTTCGAGGCCTGCTGGGGGGCTCAGCATAGAGGGTAATCGCGGCAGATTCAAATTAGACCTCGCCATCCCTGGGGGGGGGGGCTGCGATCTGTGAAACTGTCGCCACTTTCGAGGCCTGCTGGGGGGTCCAGCATAGAGGGTAATCGCGGCAGATCCAAATTAGACCTCGCCCTCCCTGGGGGGCTGCGATCTGTGAAACTGTCGCCACTTTCGAGGCCTGCTGGGGGGCCCAGCACAGTGAGGGCCACGCGCGGATTCAAATTAGACCTCGCCATCCCTGGGGGGCTGCGATCTGCGAAACTGCCGCCATTTTCGAGGCCTGCTGGGGGGCCCAGCACAGTGAGGGCCACGGGCAGATTCAAATGAGACCTCGCCGTCCCTGCGGGGCTGCGATCTGTGAACCTGTCGCCACTTTCGAGGCCTGCTGTGATCCCCGTTTTCGAAGTGGCTAGGAGTGCTTAGGAATTGTAAATCATCAGCTTTATCAAGCCCTTTTCCTGTAGCCAGTGTCCTGCGAGTCCCCCGAATTCCGTCTGCAGACATATGTAACCCTCGCTCCGTCATCGCCCCCTTATAAAGTATCCTAAACTATTTGCGCCCCGCTTTTGCGCAGGGGTTGGGTACGTCGCCAGGGTAATTGTTTTTTATGTATGTTCCCTCCCCCACGTGTGTTCTTGTGTATGTTTTTGTTTCCCACAGGTGTTCCTGTCAAACCTTTTGATCGCGCAGCTGAACTGCTCCTACCAGTCGACGTACCTGGACATGGTCGGGTACGCCCGCCTGAACCGCGGCAAGATCGTGACGGAGGCCATGTCCGTGGTGACGGACAAGCGCTGGAGGGCGTTCCTCGATTCGCTGTGCTTGGACGAGCGGTGCGAGTTCGGGGAGGGCGACATCGGTCTGGCCGGAGGAATCCAAATCAAGGATCCATCACCCCAAAATTACATGAGCACGCATTGTTGGAGGTCCGCGCTGATTTCTGGGGTCGGCGCCAGACCTCTGCCTCGCACCTCTTGCCCCCGGCGCGCAGGGCCACGGGGAGATTCTCCCCCCGTTCGCCACGGTTTGGCATCGCTCGGACGTGTGCATTTTTTCCTTCGGCGAGGACAATCGAGGAGCATCCTTGATCATTTGGCGAAACAACCACGCACGAAACCGAAAAAAGCACAGGGAATGGACGTCCGAGCGATGGCCAGATGGGGGCGGGAGGGAGAGAGAGAGAGGTGCACACGGGGGGGCTCTCGCTGCCCTCTTGGAGCGGGAAGCGCGGGGCGACGACGATGCCGTCGCGGCCGCCGACGCTGACGCCGCCGCCGCCGCCGACGACGAGGACGATGACGACGACGGCGGCGACGGCGGCTCCCAAGGAGGGACGGACGGAGGGAAGAGCAGGGCTGGACCTAAACGGTGTTTTCGCGATTTCGTGGGCCGTGTTAATTTCGACCTCGTTTTGCGGTAGAGGCGGCTTGAAGGCAGAACGAGGGAAACCGAAAACAAAACGAAAAACGAAAAACACCGTTTGGGTTCAGCCCCGGGGAAAGAGGTGCACACGAGGAAACGCAAGCTTGGTGCGGGCGCATGGATGAGCGGCGGGTCCTGCTTTTTGGTGCCGACTCGGCGCGCTCCGTTGTCGAATCGAGCGGCACTGTCTCCGTGCTTCGGGGGCCCGATCCGCGGGTCCTGGCGCCCACGCGCCAGAGCCGTGGATCCGCAATATCTGAGAAACAACTCTCCATGCCGCTGCTCCCCAGACCTCTCCAGGGGTGCGTTCTGACCGGGATCTCGAGGAGGATCTAGCCGTGGCGACGAGATCGTTGCAGGAGCAGCGGTATAAGTACTGTGGGGGCGGTGGTTAAGGAGCATGCACGGGAGGCTTCAGACCTTGGAGGGTTCTTTATTTGATGAGGGCGGCGCTAATATCCACTGCCAATTCGCGATCGGAGTTCCACTGGCTTCCAGACCCTGGATTCCATATCCAATGCTTCCTCATCCAGTACCCCCACCGAACCTTCCCAGACATGCGACGTCCTGATTCTTTCAATACGGGGTCGGCGGAAGTCCCGACCCCTTCCCCATGACCAGCGTCTCAGCTCAAGCCGCTTGTTAAGGGTCCTGAGGCGCGGCGATTACGACGCCTGCATGTCTGGGCTTCCCTCCTCGGACAATTCATACCACGGCCAGGAACTGTAGCTTAGCGTGTCGCTCCGCCAGTTCTGGCCCCCCGCGCTTCGGCGCGGCACGCCATCTACGTCGCGTTTCCCGAGCGCCTACGTCACGAGCGTTTCCCAGCCTCCCGCCCCGCAGAGCGCAGCGACACGCTTTTCGCGCGCGGGGCTGCCCCGCGCGCGAAAAGCGTGTCCTCGGGGCTGCCGATCTTGTCCGGGTTACCATCATGGGCGAGGGCTTCCGAGAAGCCTTAAGTCGGGCATGTCCCACTACAGGCAGCTTTTTGGACGAAAAATTACAAATACCCCCCAAATATTCCACAAATGATCAAGAAATAATCAAAACATCGTCCCTGGACTATTTTTGACTATTTTTGAATATTCCTCCTGTGGAAGGGCACGCCCGACTGGAGAGAAGCCCCGCCGCCTTCCGAGCAGGCCTGCCCCCGCTCGCTTCCCCGGGGGCTCGCCCGCCGGCTCTCCTGCGTGGGGCCGCACGCGCGGGGCCCTCGCCCTCGCCCCTTCTCGGCCCCCATCGCCCCGTCGTCACGTCGGGCGTGTCCCTTTTCGGATATGGGAACCTATACATTACCAGTGAAGGGCTGTTTTTCAATCCCAGGGTGTTTGGAGGGTTGGGGACGACGTCGGGGTGGTGTGGTGTATACTTGTTTCCCCGCTTTCTTGGGGAAACAAAGAAGATTGTGTGGAGTCGAAGTCCCTCTGCGGTTGTGGAAGTCGGTTCATGGAGCGGAAGCATGTTGGCAAATAGTTCCCAGATGTCTAAAACATGTGTCAAGCATGTTTCAGATATGAAAACAACATGTCTGAAACATTGTTAGGACATGTTTTACACGTCTTGGTCACAGCTTTAATTCAGTAATTGGATTTGTTGGAGTGCACATTGTCATGGCATCCGCAACTCTACAGGAGGAGCATTCAAACATATTCCCAAACATGGTCTGGGGACGATTTGCCGTAGTACTTGTTTGGGCTACTTTTCAGCATCGACAGTACGAAAAAATCCGGCCGGACGGTTTTTTTTTTTTTACCATTTTCGGCCTCTGGGGGCCCTTGCCGGCCCTCGGGACCGTCAAAACCGAGCGGAGGCCCAAGGACCATGCGACGAGGAGCGTGCCTGGCAGCCTGGCGCCTCGGCGAGAGCCTTCCAGGTCGGAAACTGGGAGCATGGAATTGCGTGACCAGTAGCGGGCTGCTTTTCCATCCCAGGGCTTTTTCTTTGCGGGTCGGGAGCCACGTCGGGGTGGTGTGGTGTGTAGTGTTTCCCCGCTTCCCCGGAGGAGCAGCGAAAAAATGAATACACCAGAATCCCGGATATACGCCAGGATCCGCTTCCCTGAGCGAGGTGCGCCGCGGGGCCCCCAAACAAGCGTCGGTGTGACTGCAGAGTTCGGCTCCATTACCAAGGGGTGCCCGGAGCGCCTCCCACGGCCGCCAGAGCGCCGAGCGGAGACCCAGAGACCGTACCACGAGGCACGTTCCCAGACCTCCGACGTCGCGACTCTTGTCTTGCAACGTCGACCCCCAGAAGTCCGGGCCCCTTCCTGGGGACCGGGCTTTCATCCCGAGTCGTTTCGTTGAGGGTCCCGAGGCCCCGGAAGGGCCCCGGGAGGCAGAAAATTCAGAAGAATTTCCCGTCGTGATTCGTTTTGCAACGTCGACCCCCAGAAGTCCGGACCCCTTCCTGGGGACTGGGCTTTCATCCCGAGTCGTTTTGTTGACGGTGCCGAGGCCCTGGAATCGGCTACACGTAAGAGTGACCCTTGGCCGGAGTGACCTTTGGTGCGGGCCCAATGGGGCCCCCCAATCGCCGAAATTCGCCGAGTGCGAGGCGATGGCGCCGGCTTGTGCGCCTGTGTTTGGCCCCCAGGCGGCCCCCGCTAAACCGCGCACCAAGGGTCACTCTTACCCATTTTCCAGTGCCACTCTTGCGTGTAGCCGATGGAAGTGCTCCCGGAGCCCGACAATAATGGAGGATAACGATTAATAAATGACCGGGGGGTCGTGTTCACGCGGCGGCGCCCGGGATGACGATGAGAAAAAACCGGCCGCGGGCTTGAAAAATACTTTTTCAATCGTTCTCCTCCAGTCAGAACATGGTGCAGAAACAGCAGAAAACTATGCTTTAATCGTTCTCTCCCATTTTTTTATTAATCGTCATCCCGCATTAGCCGATGGAAGTGCCCCCGGAGCCCGACCATCGCGAGAAAAACCTCTTGCCGCGATTCTGCTCATGACCCGAGGGGTTCTGGGTTTGGTCCGCGTGCCGCGCGCGCTCCGCCGCTGCCCAGCTCCGATCGGCATCCACGTCCCCAGACCTCCTCGCGCTGTGAAAAGATCACTCCCGCGCGGCGCTTCGTCGAGGGCTCCTCCTCCTCCTCCTCCTCCTCCTCCTCCTCCTCCTCCTCCTCGTCCTCCTCCTCCTCCTCCTCGTCCTCCTCCTCCTCCTCCTCGTGCTCCTCCCCAGACCGGAGGTTCTTCGCCATGTTCGGCCTCCGGGGGCCCTTCCCGGGCCTCAGGACCGTCAGAAGACGACTCAGGGTGAAGAGCGGGTCCCTGGGAAGGGGTCTCCGAACTTCTGGGGGTCGACAGTGTGAACAAAAATCACGACGTCGGGGGTCTGGGTCCCGAGCTCTCCTCCCGAGCCCCCCCCGCTCCCGCGGAGGCTGAGCGGCGCGCCGTGTAGGTGCCAGGCGCAGAGAGGGGAGCAGTGGAGTCCCAGGCCGAGAAGCACCCTGCGTGCCTGCAGGGTGCCCTGGGCGTCTCGGGTATGGACGGCTGTGCTGTGGAAGCGTGGGGTTCCCACGCCGAAAATCAATGGACGTCCTGGGGTGTCGGGGCCGGGTTTCTTGTGGAAGGTTTCTTGCAGACGGGCCTCCACCGTGGGGGGAGGGGGCAAGGCTTCCGAGAAGCATTCTTGTTTCTGAGAAAGCACGGGCCTTCTCTATAGATGTATGGTTGGCGCCTTCTAAGAGGCAGTTTCCTTCTGAGAAGCATTGCTCCCTGTCCCATACGCCCCCGGCGCGCCGCCAGATACAGGTTGCAGGGCACAGTGTGTCAGAGGGGTCGTCGCCGCGACACGCTGAACAAAAGCCCGTGATTGTAAGGCCTCTCACCCGTGTGGCCCGGGCGGGGGGTGGGGAGCGCCGACGGATCTTCGCGGCCTGAATCTCGGCAAGCAGCAGAAAGAAGGAGGGGGAAGTGAGGGAAGTTTACGGCCAGGAGCTGAGGCTCAGCTTGTCGCGCCGCCGGATCTGGCCCACCACACCTCGGCGCGACACGCTAACCGCGTCGCAGTTCTCAGACGTCAGTGTCCCATTCTCTTCCCAGCTTCCCGCCCCGCGTAGCGGAGCGAAGCTTGCACGGCGCAGCGTGTCGCCGGGGCCATCGCCGCGGCACGCTAGCAGCAAAATCCCCTGACTGTAAGGCCTCTCACTGTGCGGCCCGGGCGGAGGCGGCGGCGCCGACGGATCGTCGCGGCCGAATTAGAGCTCGGCAAAGAGTAGAAAGGAGGAGGGGGAAGTTAGGGAAGCTTCCCAGACATCTGGTGTCTTGAGTATCTCAATGCGGCATCCCCGATCATCCCAACCCTTTTCATGGGGCAGGCTGTTGATCCTGCGCCGTTTCCAGACGGTGTCGGGGCCCGGCGAGGGCCCCCCAGAGGCCGACAGCGGCCCGCAGAGATCCCGCCGTGTTTTTGTTGCGTTTTCTGTTTCAACTCGGCGCGAGCATCTGCCTGGAGCAGCGAGGGCAGCCAGGCTGTACTGCTCCTCAGAGCATCCACCAGGAGGCCGCCAACGTCAACATCACGACGGTCGACATGATACGCCGCTTCGGCGGCTCCACCTCGGTGATGGCACAGTGGCCGGAGGACGGCCTGGCCACCGTCGTGGTCGTCGTCCGCGGCCTTGGGCCGCCATGGGCGGCCAACCGGAGGAGGTGGAGGAGGAGGAGGAGGAGGAGGAGGCGGAGGAGGCGGAGGAGGAGTCGTGGTCGTCGTCGGCGGCCTTGGGCCGCCATGGGCGGCCAACTGGCGGCCCTCCACGGCGGCCTTCGGCGGCCCTCCACACGGTCGTCCTCCTCGCCGCCGCCGCCCCCGCCAGAGGATGACCTGGCGGGGAACGACGAGGAGGACCGCTTCGAGCGCATGGAGAAGCTGATCACGAAGGCCCGCTTACAAAAAACTGCGGAAGCATAAACTTCCTCGGCCACGCGCAGAGGGGAGGTAGGGGGAGAGGGGAAGGTTTCTTAGGAGCAGGCTGCTTCCGGCCTTTCCATAGGTGCGAGGCCGGCCCTTCTGAGAAGCGGCCTCCTTACAGGAAGGCTTCCCCCCTCCCTCGACATACTTGTGCGCACCGCCAATTTTCGGAGGAGGGGAGTTGGGTCACCCTAGGGCCACGAGCGTTGATTTTGCCAACGGGCCAAGAATCAAGAATCGATTGGCTTGCCGTGGGCATCTTAAGGAGGTGAGTCCCGATGCCCCGCGGCGCCCAGAAATCAAGAGACGCCATCTTCAGCGTGGGATCCGGGGCCAGGTGGGTCCCCGTGGCGAGCGGCACCCAGGAATCCAGAGACGCCGTCCCCTGGCTGGGGCCGCGGGGGCGGGTGGGTCCCCGCACCCCTCCTCGGGGCAGCGCTCGGGGCGCCGCCGGGGGCGGCGGCTAACCAAAAAGTGGAGGAGGAGGAGGAGGAGGATGAGGAGGGGGAGGAGGAGGAGGAGGAGGAGGAGGAGGAGGAGGAGGAGGAGGAGGAGGAGGAGGAGGAGGAGGAGGAGGAGAGGAGGAGGAAGAGGAGCTAGGGGGAGGAGGAGGAGGAGAAGGAGGAGGAGGAAGACGAGGAGGAGGAAGGAGGAGGAGGAGGAGGGGAGAAGGAGGGAGGAGGAGGAGGAGAGAGGAGAAGGAGGAGGAGGAGGAGGAGGAGAGGAGGAGGAGGAGGAGGGCGAGGAGAAGAAGGAGGAGGAGGGCAACTTGTGGCCGCCCGTGGCCGGCCGCAGATTCTCTGCCCCCCGTGCGTTGGCGGGCGTGTCTGGGCGTTCCGCGGGTGACTGCCCGTGGCCGCGTCGTGGCCGCCCCCCGTGCGCTGGCTGGCGTTCCAGGGCTTTCGCCTGTGGGCCGTATCGTGGCCGCACCGTACGCTGGCTGGCGGATGCACCTTCTCCTCCTCCTCCCCTCCTCCTCCTACCTCCTCCCCTCCTTCCACCTCCTCCTCTCCTCCTCCTCCTCCTCCACCTCCTCCTCCTCCTCCTCCTCCTCTCCTCCCCTCCCATCCCCACCCTCCCCTCCACCCTCCTCCCTCCCCTCTCCCCCTTCCTCCCTCCACCCTCCACCCTCCACCACACAGCTTGCACGACACCTCCTACCTTGCACGGCAAAAGTCCCGACGGCGCCGCACAGCTTGCGCCAGACAGACTGCATCCCTCGACGCAGGTTGCACCGCAGAATTGCGCCACATAGGATGCGCCCAGCCCCAGCGCATTGCACCACATAGATTGCACTCCGAAGGTTGCACCACATAGCCTGCACCACTTAGACTGGGCCCCCTAGATTGCGCCACACAGAGCGCGCGCCGAGTGTGCAAGAGGCCACTGTTTGGAGTCCACGCAGGCAAGCACGTTCATGTAATCTCTCTTTCTTGTGAGGCCATGAAGCGCATGAACACGGGCAGCGGCAAGAAGGGGAAGAGCGGCAAGGGCTCGACTGGCGCCAGCTCTGGGCAGCAGAACACAGGCTCCTCCATCCTCGTCCATTCTCCACATTTCCACCTGTTCCTCGCCATCCACCTCCCATCTCCGTTTCATCATCATTATCCTGTTCCTCCACTTCCTCCTCCTCATCCTCCTCCTCCTCCTCCACCTCCTCTTCCTCCTCCTCCCCCTCCCTCTCCCCGTGCTCCTACCACTCCTGCTCCTCCTCATTCATCCTCCCTGCCGCCCCTCCGTAGCATTCTGCTCCTACCCTTTACGCAATATCTTTCTTGACACTTGCTCGCGCCCTGCCGCCCAGCCTGCCGACGGGGGGGGGCCTCGCCGGGACCTTCCACCCTGCCCATCATCAACGCACGCTTTCGTTGTCGTCATGGGCATTTTTTGTTTTGCCTTCGACGCTCCAAGGTGCGCGGCAGGTGTGGGGCGCGGCGCGCGCGAAAGCTTCTTGTGAAAGTCGGTGTTGCGAAACCATGTCTTCTGATCTGTTTTCGACACTCGATTTTGACTGCCTCCGAGGGCTTTTGACTTGAAGGATCTCGGCACGCGCGCGCGCGACAGGGCGAAATGCCGCTCCCGCCACAGCGCCGCGCACGTGCTTCTGAAAGTTTCGAGGTGGCCCGCCGGGCGTGGTGGTGCCGCTTCTCCATCGTCCGACCGTCGGCGGCGAGCGAGAGGGCGTTTGAGAGGGGGGGTAGGAGGAGGAGGAGGAGGAGGAGGAGGAGGACGAGGAGGAGGAGGAGGAGGAGCAGCAGCAGGAGCAGGAGGAGGAAGGGAGACGAGGAGGAGGAGGCGAAGAGGAGGAGGAGGAGGAGGAGGAGGAGGAGGAGGAGGAGAGTGGAGGAGTTGGAGGAGGAGGAGTTGCAGGAGTTGGAGGAGGAGGAGTTGCAGGAGTTGGAGGAGGAGGAGGAGGAGGAGGAGGAGGAGGAGGAGTGTTCTGCACCGCTGCCCGGACCTGGCCTCCAGAGGGAGGGCCGCGCGCAACAAGGCTCAGAGAAGGAACAGATACCATAGCCGC